TATAGACAACTCCCATGTTGTGATATGACCACGCAACATCCAGATGATTGTCACCAAGGACTTCCAATCGAATTCGCAGTGACTTGTCATGCATCTCCAGAGCCTGATCGAACTTGCCTTGGTCATGATAGACAAGTCCTATGTTGTTATATGACTGCGCAACATGAAGATGATTGTCACCAAGAACTAACAATCGAATTTCCAGTGACTTGCGATACTTAGCCACAGCCTGATCGTACTTGCCTTGGCGACTATAGACAACTCCTATGTTGTGATATGACATCGCAACATAGGGATGATTGGGACCAAGGACTTCCAATCGAATTTGCAGGGACTTGTCAAAATGATCCACAGCCTGATCGTACTTGCCTTGGCTTCTATAGACAACTCCTATGTTGTTATATGACCGCGCAACATGAAGATGATTGTCACCAAGAACTGCCAATCGAATTTCCAGTGACTTGTGCAACATATCCACAGCCTGATCGTACTTGCCTTGATGATCATAGACAACTCCTATGTTGTGATATGAGTTGGCAACATCGGGATGATTGGGATCAAGGGCTGACGATCGAATTTTCAGTGACTTCTTATACATATCCACAGCCTGATCGTACTTGCCTTGGTGCTCATAGACATTGCCTATGTTGTTATATGAGTTGGCAACATCGGGATGACTGTCACCAAGGGCTGCCAATCCAATTTGCAGTGACTTCTTATACATATCCATAGCCTGATCGTACTTGCCTTGGTGCTCATAGACAACTCCTATGTTGTTATATGACATCGCAACATCGGGATGATTATGACCAAAAACTGCCAATCGAATTTGCAGTGACTTCTTATACATATCCAGACATAAGTCAACATTGCGCAAGTCCCAGTAGACTTGCGCAATTTGATCATAACTATCGGCAAGACGAGCATCCTTTTCGTCTAACCATTTTAATTTCATTTCCAATGATTTGCAACCGTCTTGCAGTGCTCCGTTGTAATCCCCTTGGCGTCTCTTAATCTCGCTTTCTCTTTGTAAACATTGAGCCATGCTCACTTCATCTTGCAGTTTAGTAGCCACAGTTCGTCCCTTTTTACTCCAATCAACAGCTTCCTTGAATTGATATTGTAAAGTGTAAATGTCACAAAGACCAAGATAAATATCGCATGCAAGTCGATCAATATCCGCACTAGGATTCGACAACGAAGCAATCGCATCGACAGCTTGTGTATAACAAGATAGTCCGTCCACCAACTGGAAGGCAGTCTTGCATGAGTTACCCTTTTCGTACAGTGATTGTATACGGGTATGGTGAGGAAGCCCACTCGTGGAAGAGACAGATTCATCATCAGCCATCTTNTCCTGCACTC